GTGCAACTCACCTACGGCAACCGACGTCTACAGTGCGACTCAGACCAAGAAAGCGAGGGTCATTCGCCCTCTACCTCACGCGAACAGACAAGGGCAGCGTTCGTTTCTAACAACGGCAATCAATGGAATTGATTCCACTTGACCGCAAATGTGGGAAGTAGGCGTGTATAGGAGCAGTTAAAACAGGCATTATTTACAAATTTTGCGGCCATCCGTTTTACCCCTTCTGTGCTGGTCTGTCAACTACCATCAAGAGACAAATCAACCTGACTGATTTGCTCTGGTTTTGCCAAACATGCAGAGCAATTCCAATAGTCAAATCTATAATATCGCTCAAGAAAAAGTGCGAAGAACTGACTGAAACAGTCTAGCAAATGGCGAGATTCAGTGCTTTGCCGTTAGAATCTAACAACACCGAGCTTGCTCCACAACAAACCCCCACAGAGCTCTGTCCCTAAGTCGAAGACTAAGGTCAGCCTTGCCAACTGCCCGACAGTATCTGCGCTACCTACTCCGACAGTTATTAACCATTTAAATAAGCAACACACATCCAGCGTGACTGATACGAACTTATCCCTAGACGCCAAATCTTTCGAGTGGGTAACAACACCCGCAGTTCAGAGCCGAGTAATATAGGCATCGATGGCTTCCATAAAAACGCATAAAGAGACACTCGTACATGCATTTTCTGGACTAAGCACAAGAGATGCGACGCCATTTTCATAACGTTCCTTAAGTGCCCGCCAAACAATCCAAGTTAAAAGCCACAACACGCAAAGCAACATTTGCTAAACTGAACCACAGTGCGTTAACGGCCGTGTGCACTAACATTCCTGAGTTCAGTTCTGGCACAAAAAAGGCAAGCTGGTAGATAATCGCGACGCGATTGGTATTCTGGTTGACCCAACTGGGCAATGCGCTGTAACACGTCACCCAAATTCAGTGCACTAAGATGAACCCGATTACTTCGAGTAACCTTGAATTCAAGTGATGAGACAGAGATAGTCCTAATCTCAGCAGTTCCTCTTCGCAACTCATCGAGCAGGATACGCATACTATCCGATATTCCTTGGAAAGGATGGTCAAAAGAAAATCATGGCGGCTTTCCTACGAAAGAAAGAAAAAACGTATTTGTTCATGGTGTTCCTGAACTACTGGACTTTCCTAAAACGATGCGCAAAGGCATCACCGAGAGCAGTGGTACCGCATCCGCAAAGCACTCGTTCTGTACCAAGTTATTGCTAAATCGCTAACCAGAATTCCTTCATCAACAAACTACATGGGTTTCGGTTCAAAAATATTGAAATTCGTGCTGCACGCCGATGAAATGACAGAAGTCCTATGGGATAGCTGGTTGAAGCATCCTTCCAGGTTGCCTACTGAGATTAGGCTAAATTTAGCAGGCGCAGAGCTACCAGTTATCAGCACTTCAATGAAACATGCTACCTAAGTAAAATCCCTGACTCCACAATCCTGCAGAGTTGTAGAAAACATGATATTAGCGGCATAGGACGAGACAGAGAGACACATTGGGTACATTTCGATCTTGGATACTCCATGCTACCAAGCAGCCTGAATGAAATTCAGGAACCAAAGACCCACGCAGAAAACGATTAGTGACCGACCAACGAACGGTCGGCTTAAAAGTAAACACCAATTTTTTGCTGTCCATCTACATACTTCTAACATCAAAACACTATCATGTTTGTATACTAACGCCCAAGTTCTTCTTAGTAACTTGGCCGAACTTAGGGAACTCCGGACGTCCTAAGCGCGGGATCTCATTATGATTACGGAGACCTGGTTAAGCCTTGAGACTGCACATTCTGAAGTCAATTTACCTGGTATGCCACTGCTTCAGAATGACAGATGGAAGAGGTGATAACGTACTTCTGTTATGCAAGACTAACCTCCGACGTGAAGTTCTTGACCACCCAGAGAGCCGTGCCCTGAGATTCGCTTTGGTGCCGGCAATGGTTACGGATCAAAGACACACCTTATAGTGGTGATTTACTGTCCACGAAACTCTACTTGTGAAATAGACCCCAAACAGAAACACGTACTTCATGTCGCTTTGAAGAAGAAATACAGTCACATTCACATCGCAGGCGACTTTAGTTTGCACAATCTGGAAATAGCGGCAACCGACAGCATGCAGTTTAATGCCTGTCTCCAAGACGTACTTTCCAGCTACCCTTGTTGGGCGGAGCCTGGAATACTAGTCGGTAAGCAATGATACGTAATACGTGTCAAATACGACAGTATAGAAGTCGGAGGCGACTGAACCCAACGTATATTGTACAGGCTACAAGAATAGGAAGCGAATCAGACAGAGCGAGAAACGTGCAGCGAGGTACTCACCAAAACGGTTTGTGTCAACGGACGTGCAGTCAGTAAAACAAATGGACGTTTCGAAGGTTAAAACAACCGTAAAATCCAATGTTACAAAATACTGAAAGAGCTTGTTTTCCGGTACACTACAAGGGCCTCCCCTAGAAGGCTGAAGAATGGAAGCCTTCGATAGAGCTGTTAGTGGGGGAAACGGAAGGTGAGGGTGGATGCGAATATTTGCAGGGGCTTGAGTAAGGGCTTCCAAAGTGGGGTGTGTAGCAGATTTCGCTGGGTCCAGGCTTTTGTTAGGTATTATTTATGACGATCGTGTGGACCAGAGTGCATCATCGGTGGGCCGTCGGGGCGGGCTGGTCGGACTGCAAAAAACTGGCTAGTCCAGAGAAAAGGCCGACAGGACCTTCCCTTTGCTGCAGACCCGACGGTGCGCTTAGGAGTTGTCACGCCCCCCACCGCACTTTAGTCCACAGTCCTCGTCCCACGAAGAAATCCTGGAGTCCTCGTCCCACGAAGAAATGCGGGCGTCCTCGTCCCAAGGATAAATCCGGCGTCCTCGTCGGCAATGACTGGGCGGCGTTTGGGGACCAATCTGTTCGTGGGTGTCTGCGACAGAGGGCGATTATATGTTCCTTAGGTGAGGAAGTGAGCTTTGGGACGGCTGGCTAGTCACTCGAGGGTTGCGGTTCGCCGTTTGGCGAGTAACGCAAAGGTTGCCTGGGCAGTTCCGGTGGTTGAACTTCTGTAAGTTAGAACTCAGAGGCGGTGGGCAACGGTCGGGGAAGTGGATTGAAAACGGCGAAGGAACACGGCATGCATGATAAAATAAATAAGCTTTTAAGGTTTTCAAAATGTTTTGGGCTTTTTTGTAGATTTTGCAAAACGTTTGTGGATGGGACGTAGCATAACCATTAAAGACGAAAAAGGCGTGTTAATGGAAATAGCAAACGCTTACAAAATCTGAAAAACGGACCGGACCTTTGACCTGTCTACCGCGTCGCTCGGTTGCCTGGGGTTGAGGCGGGATAGGTTGCGGGTCAAGGGGTACGGAGGGTTCCGGGCTATCCAGTGCTCGGGAAGTCACCACAGGTGCGGGTGCTTGTGCGAGATCATCAGGATGGGTTGCAAATGGCTCCTCAAAGAAAGCCACTTTGAGGCGGTCGATGGACACCGTTGTTCGGTGACCATTATGGTCTAAAGTAAAGTGTTTCGGAGTCCGTTGCAGAATTCTGAAAGGGCCAGTGTAGGGAGGCTTGAGAGGGCGCCACACGGCGTTGGTGCGGAGGAAGACGTGAGAGCAGGTAGAGAGTCCGCTGTGTATTTGTACTTCTCTAGTCTGTTCACGGGACGGGGTAGGGCGTAGTGAACGCATGCGTTGAGCTAGGGAGGACGCAAAGTTAAACGGAGTCATACCCGACGATGCGGGAGGTGGAACGAATTCTCATGGTAACTTGAGCGTCGTGCCGTAAACCAGCTCTGCTGGTGCACATGGCGAGTCAGCTTTGATGCTGCTGCGAATGCCTAAGAGTATGAGCGAAATGTTTTCGCTCCAGCTAGGGTCGGAGGAGGCGAAGAGAGAGGCTTTAAGATGTCTATGGAAGCGTTCAACTAACCCGTTGGCTGCTGGTGATACTCTGTGATATGATTGCGACGGCAGCCTAAAAAGTTGCAGAACGTATAGAATTATGATGATTCGAAAGGCGTTCCTCGGTCGCTTGTGATGGTGGATGGGCATCCGTAGTGCGAGACCCACCGATCTAAGAAGGCCCGGATAACAGTCTCAGCTGTGCAGTCCGTTACGGGGATGGCTTATGGCCATCTGGTGAAGCGGTCAACACATGTAAAAATTTATACGAATCCGCATAAAGGAGGCAAAGGACCTACTAGGTCTAAGTGTACATGCGAGAACCGAGAGTCCGGGGCAGGAAATGAACCAAGAGGACTGCGGGTGTGACGATGTACTTTGGAGCGCTGGCATTGAAGGCAGGCGCGAGCCCAGGTACGAACATCATTGTTTACGCGTGGCCAAACGAAACGTACGGTGGTCAGTTGCAAAGATGCATGGATCTCGGGATTCGATAGTGAGTGGAGTGCGTCAAAGACTTTGCGTCTGAAGGAGACGAGCACGAGAGGTCTAGAACAACCTGCGGAAGGGTCACCGAGAGTGGTTCCTTCCGTGGTTTGGAGAGGAACAGGTTGCACATGCAGCGAAGTGGACTGCAGAGTGCGTTGTATATCTTCGTCTTGAGCCTGAGCCGATGCCATGGCTGCAAGGTCGACGGTAGGCAAAGACTGCAGAGTGAGGTTGACGCATGAGAGAGCGTCGGCGACGGGATTGTCGACACCTGAGACATGACGTATGTCAGCAGTGAACTGCGTGACAAAGTCTAGGTGTCTTGTTTCCCGTGGTGAGTACTTGTCGCTGGCAGAGTTGAAGGCAGAGATAAGGGCTTGTGGTCAGTGTAGACCGTGAAAGCGTGGCCTTCGAGTGTGTGCCGGAAGTGACGTATCGCTAGGTAAATGGCCAGCAGTTCTCTGCCAAACGTGCTGTAGCGGGATTCCGCTGGCTGCAGGCGCTTGGAGAAGAACCCAAGGGGTTGCCATTACCCACCAACGTGTTGTTGGAGGACGGCTCCTATCGCGACGTCCTAGGCATCAGTCGTAATAGAAAGAGGTGCAGTCGATTCCGGATGAGCGAGGAGGGCTATGTTGGAGATAGCATCCTTGAGCTCGGCGAAGGCTGCCTGTGCTGTGTCAGGGAAAGCGAACTTACGTTCATTTCCTCTGAGTAAGTCAGTCAATGGCTGCATAAGCTGAGCGCAGCGCGGAATGAAGCGTCGATGGTAGTTGACAAAACCACAAAACCGACGGAGGTGCTTGAACGAAGTCGGAGCTGGGAAGTCCTTCATTGCTCGGATCTTATCAGGAAGGACTTCGATACCAGACGATGAAACGAGGTGGCCTAGGAATTCTACCGTTGATTTACCGAGTTCGCACTTAGTCGGGTTGACTGTGACACCGTGTTGGGTCAAGCGCTGGAAGAGAGTTCGAAGATGCTCGAGGTGCCCTTGTTCCGATAAACTGGCTACTAAAATATCATCGAGGTAGGAATAGGCGAAGTCTAGGCCACGAGTAACATCGTGGATGAAGCGTTGGAAGGTTTGTGCGGCGTTGCACAGTCCAAATGGCATTCTTAAAAATTCAAACAAACCGAAAGGAGTGATGACGGCTGTTTTAGGAATGTCATTGTCTTTCACAGGTATCTGGTGGTAAGCGCGAACCAGATCGATCTTGCTGAAGATCGTCTTACCTGTGAGGCTTGCGGTAAGGTCCTGCACGTGTGGGATGGGATTCCTATCTTGGACGGTTAGACGATTGAGTGCGCGGTAATCACCGCAAGGGCGCCAGTCACCAGATTTCTTGGGCACCATCTGCAGGGGTGAGGACCAAGGGCTGTCAGAAGGGCGGATTATTCCAAGTTCAAGCATTTGCTCAAACTCCGCCCTAGCTAGCTTTAGTTTCTCAGGCGATAGTCGGCGTGGACAGCATGACACAGGTGGGCCGTTCTTCCGTAAGTGGTGCGTGACTTGGGCTTCCACAGGCAAAGCTGCGTTCATTGGCTGAACGAGTTTTGAATACGGAGAAAATAGATTAGCGTAGTCTGGCCAGGTCTGGGGAAATGCATAGACCGGGGATATAGATGGGACATCGGCGGTGATGCCACGTACACTGAGTTTTGTTGCAGTGTCGACTATCATCTGGCGTTTCGCATCGACCAATAGGTTGAAATGCCTGAGAAAGTCAATGCCGATGATGGCAAAGGGGACTGCAGCGACAGTGAATACCCAGTGGAACGTGCGCATAAGACCTAGGTTTAGGGTAAGCGACCGATGACCGTAGGTGGCTTTTGGCGTGCCATTGGCAGCAGTGGGGCTTGTCGACAGAGAAGCTGTAGGCCCACCTGGTATAGGGGGAAGGACGCTGACTTCCGCCCTGGTATCAACTAAGAACTGGGTATCCGAGTTATAATCTCTAATGTAGATGAGACGACTTTGAGCTTTGCTGACGTTCGTGGCCATTACATGCCGGCGTGGCGGATCATCTATAGCGGAGTTGCTACACGTCTGTACGCACTTACGGGCTTTAGTACCGAAACGCGAGTGGTAAAAGCAGTAATCTGTGGCATCAGGTTTTGTGCGACGGGGCGATGATCCAGACCGGTTGCGATGCTTACGGTTTAAAGTGAGTTCCTCGATCTGGCGCTGAAGCGACGCTATCTGCAATGATAATGCGTCTATTGCCGGCGGCGGGCTAATCGCGCCTGTCGTTGTGGTTGCGCTAGGGCAAAGCTGCTTAGATGCTTTGGTTTCAGTCTCTGGCTGGTGCCGTTCGATGACGCGGTCTGCTAGATCTGCAATTGCTGTGATGGGCAAGTCACTTGCTACTGCAAGGATAGCCTGTGTGCTTTCAGGAAGGCGTTGCATCCACAGCTCGCGGAGAATCCCTACGTCCATGTTGAACGCGCCGATGAGCCGTTGCATTTCGCGCAACATGGCTGAGGGCATCCTATATCCTAGCTGCAGATCACTAAATATTTGCTGCAGACGGACCTTGTCAGAAGGCGTGATTCGCTGAATAATAGCCTTTTTAAGTGTCTCATATTTCATTACTAGAGGGGGCAAAGTATGACGTCTCTCACCTGCGATGATATATTCTGAGGAAGGCAAGATATTAGCTGATTATACATTGCGAAAGCAGAAGAAATCGTACGAATATAAAATACGGATTCTAGGTGCAAAACCATAATAAAGGATCATTCTCCCAAAAAGGGGAGGGGCTAAGTCAACAGAATTGACCATGACAGACTGAAAGGCGTTAACCGCGCATGGAGACGGATTATCCTCTAGATAATCCATTGCAAAATGCAGTTTAAAATTGTGGTAGATAAGAAAACAATATGATCCCAAGTAATGAATCACAAAATCACTGGAACGAGCTCACCAGAATGAAAATGCAAAATGGCGGACGGCGTGTTCCTGACAGGGGGTCACCACTTTTTGGGCGGAGCCTGGGATACTAGTCGGTAAGCAATGATACGTAATACGTGTCAAATACGACAGTATAGAAGTCGGAGGCGACTGAACCCAACGTATATTGTACAGGCTACAAGAATAGGAAGCGAATCAGACAGAGCGAGAAACGTGCAGCGAGGTACTCACCAAAACGGTTTGTGTCAACGGACGTGCAGTCAGTAAAACAAATGGACGTTTCGAAGGTTAAAATAACCGTAAAATCCAATGTTACAAAATGCTGAAAGAGCTTGTTTTCCGGTGCACTACACCCTCTGTACAACCACGTGGCTAATCCAACCAAATTTCGAACTGCTAACAAGCCATCGATACTTGGTGTTGTGCTCACCAATGAAAAGCTCATGGTAGACGGATTAATTGCAAGCAAATCACTGGGTAGCAATGACCATGTGATTCTACTTTTCAAATATGTTCGTTATGCGGAATATACTGAGGAAGAGGACGAGAAACTATATCCGGTTAAGCATCAGAAATTGTTACCCGCCTTTGATAAGGACCTACTTAACTGCGTGCCCCCCAGAAATCGCCCGGTACACTTTCACAAGGACATTTACCACATCGGTAACGCGAGCGTCTGAGCAGAAATCTTTCCATCGGCAAAGGAAAAGAACGTCATTTCTGAGCAGCAAAACACGCAATTGCATGTCTTTGAGGGAATAAGCACGGACAGCGCACAAGGACACCCTAATTTCGAAACCTGGACTGCCTAAGTGGTACGGCGTAAATTCTGTGCCCGCTTAAACTGCGAGTACAAGGTGACGCATCAGCAGGAGCTTCTGCTGACAACTACTCTACTAACTCTTATACAGGCATGTTAATGGCCTTCATAAAATGTTACGCGGAATTCCAGCAATGATCACGACTGACAGACGCACGCGATCATCAACGGAAGCAGCCGATCTCTTACAGTTCCTTTATTCACAAACGTTCCATAAGGTAACAGGCCCAAAGGTTATCCCTCTTTCTATTGTCCCACCATCAGCTTTATCCAATATTACTTTTACTGCAGAGTGTCAAAGGAACTGTTGTCCTTGTGTATCCACAGCTCCCCTTGTGTCGATAACATTTAAACGAAGGCCTTAAAGGCAGCAGCCTGTGATCTGGCGGAACTCTGGCAATATTCTATCAGCGCTGTATGGATGAGAACCATATTCCAAAAATATGGAAGTGTGGGGTAATCACTCCAATTCATCAGGGTTAGCCGCATTGACCAGGCACATTAGCATGCTATAACGCTACTCCCTGTGCTTCCCAAGGTTAGTGAGTCTAACATCGCGGATGTGCTCAAGCAGTATCAGGAAAATTACAAAATAATAGCACCAGAGCAACATGGCTTCCGACAAAAGCGCTCATGCAGTACGAATTTGTTACTTGCACGCAACAGCTGAATTGAAGCAATTGATGGTGGAGCAGGAGTTGATGCTATTTACTTTGACTTCCCCAAAGTGTTCGATCGCATAGACCACGGAATTCAGCTCCATAAGCTTTAGCTCTTTGACGTTGGTGACCCTCTGCTGCGTTGGATATACAACTTTCTGTTTGAACGTCGGTTGGAAGTGTGAGTACGAGAATCCCTGTCCGACGCAATTGATCTTGGGTGCGGTGTACCACAACGCTCGATGCTCTAGCCCCGTCTATTGTTGATTTTCATGAACTATCTGGCGAAGAAAATTACTTCCATTTCTTATTCTTCACAGTTGATATCAACTTATGGCGAGCGATCAAATAACAGAACGATCATGGAAACCTCCAGCGTGACCTCAACACATTTTCAACTTGGTCATTTTTGAATACGCTATGGTTCAATGTGGAACAATGTCACGCTGTTCAATTGCGCCATAGACATGACTGCGTGTATAGGCTTGGATCACATGTATTGCAAACAACTTCCCAAGAACGCGACAATAGTGTGCTCATTCAAAGCGAAGGTAACTGATAAAAGCTGTCAGACGCAGCTGCGAAGAGAGCCAACCTGCAAGTCGGCTTGCTGCGGACAGCATTCGGAACATTCGATCCATACCATCTTCCTTATGATGCGCAAATTTTACATGAGCCCTTAAGTTGAATACGCCATTCAAGCTTGGCAACCTTGGTTGAAGCGCGACTTACAAGTACTAAAGAAACCCCAACGCAGGGCCACAAAGAACGTCAAGGGTATACGAAATCTGTCCTACCATCAAAGGCTGAAGTCCCTGGGTGTTTTCAGTGGCCGCTACCGAAGGCTGCGCGGCGATCTCATATTAGTCTAACAAATATTGTGTGACCTTAATTGTGTATGCCGTCATTTACTGAAACTCAGCCATAACACTTATCTCAGACATAACTCTCTGAAATTGTATGCATAGTTTAGGCATCTGGAATGACGGCGAAATTATTTTTCTCTTCCGGTTTGCCAACCCTGGAACTCCCTCTCAAACTTTGTTGTTTCCTCCCCCACATTAGATACTCTCAAAAAAGGATTGGATCTTGCCCTTGGCTCCAATCACTTCGTTGCCTATACTGTGCCTATCCTGTCCAAACCGGATTAACACGTTACCTAAACCTGAGGATGAGGGACAGAATTGAGTAATCATGCTTTTGCTTTTCACATGTACTACATCAAATATAACTGTCCCCATTTTGCCACCTCGTTCTCATTCAATTCCCACATACACTATTATTACTCAGCAGCTTATCTTGAATAACCGCTCAAACAGACAACTCACCTAAGATTTGATAATTGGACTTTAACCCCCACCATCCTGCGGGGTTTGCCAAGCCACGCTTTTTACCCGACATAAATCATTGTTCATTGTTCAAGTGATACTCAGCTTAATCATGCGTTGGCCAATGAAATTCAAGAATTCAGTTACGACCCAGACAGTGGCAATACATTTTTAGCTTGGTACAAGAGATATGAATAAATTTTGATGCCAACGGTTCAGCATTTGATGAATCAGCAAAAGTACGGCTCTAGATGAAAAAACATGGATGTTCTGAACACACAAGATGTTGTAATTATATTCTACCGAAACCCCCAAGAGATTATAGTTTGCAAGAAACGGTGGATAAGATTACCATACTTTTTGGAGAACAGACATCTATATTTAACATTCGTTATAATTGTTTAAAGCTTACTATAGAATACGAAGACATTGTGAAATATGCAGGTAGAGCGAACATGGTATGTGAAAGGTTCCAAAATAAAAGAATGGCAGACGATCAATCCAAAGCATTGATTTTTTTGTATGTGGCTTAAAATTGCCTGCGGATTCCGATATCAGAACAAAATTATTATCAAAACTGGACTCTACTTGTGACATTTGCTTGCACGATTTAACTATGGAATCTCTCAGATTGATAAACCTAAAGCGTGATTCACAAACGTTACAGTCAAACAAATGTTATTCAGACATGACTTCTGTTGTTAAGCTCACCAAATCACACGTGGAACAGAACAGATTTCCAAAACAAAGAGGTTGGTTCCAACGACCATCTACACCATGCTGCAATTATGGCGCCTGGCACTTTGCACCCTTTTGTGCATTTCGATTCCATAAATGTCAAGTTTGTGGCACATTAAGTCAAAAGGGGGACACTGTGTCCGTTCGTTCAAGCTTCACCAATCAACCGGATTCAGAAGGCAGTAAAATCTAGTATCCGCTACAAACATTTCTCGTGGGAGGCATGGCCAAAGTTTATCAGGTTATTAATTAACAACTTACCAATTACAGATTAACACTACTTCCAGCATAACAATCATTTCATATTTGACTTAGAAAAGCATTGGCGATCCAGAATACTGTTACCAAACGTACTGCTCGGAACGCTTCTGGCAAGAAAATCGACTTTGGGGACAAATAAACCGTGAGTTTACATTTCGGAACGATAAATGCAATAAAACCTGTTACATTGCAGCAGCAAATGGACTAAATTTAGTAGACATTGAATGGTTAGATGAGTAACAATTATGGGATGTTCCAATCAGCTCAATTTTGATTACCAAACTAAGAGCATGCGAAAAATGCCTTCAAGTGATGTCGCAACTGTTGATACAAAGTGAACATTGATATTTTGGCAAACTTGCAAAAAAATATACTTGTCTTTTCCAACCAGAACTTGCATTGCGCACCAAAGTTCGGGCTACTTTGTATGTCGCACCTGAAGCAAAACCAGTATTCCGTACTAAAATACCAGTACACTACTCAGCCGACCCATTGGTTGATGAAGAACTGATTCGCTTTGAGATATTGGACGCGCTAACCAGAGGTATCCAACCAGTGCTACTCCCATTGTGGTAGTTAAGAAGGCGAGTGGCACAGTACGTATTTGTGGTAATTCTTCAACTCGACTAAATGGTGAACTTCAGACTCACCAATACCCATTGCCAATTCCGAATGCTTTGTTTGCGCGGTTAAATGGTAGCAAACTATTTTCAAAGTTAACCTTTCTGATGTCTAGTTACAAGTCGAAGTTGATGAGGAATCAAGACACTTTCTCACCATTAATACTCATAAGGGTTTATATCAATACACCAGACTGCCGTTTGGAAGTAATTGTGCTCCGGCAATTTTGCAACGAGTAATAGACACAATGCC